ATCAAAAGAGGGCAAATCTAGGAGAGTTTCTTTTTCTTTTTTGTGATTTTCTGTTATTTGGTTATAATAGACTAATTTATTTTGATTTTTATGTATTATATTTAGATAAAGTACATTAATTATGTTTATATTAGGCTTGCCTATCTGGAAATAAAGTTCTTCTTCTTCTAGATTAGGTAATGAATATTGCAATAGAGGTTTAGAATTTACTGGACAAACATCAATATCATTCAAAATCAGTTTAAAAAGATTATTAGTGTAAGTGTTCGTCTATTACTGTAGTACTGCCAATTTATTCATTTTTAGTTTATATATTTAGTATGTATGTTGACGTTATTCAGCAACTTCTCTAATAGTCTTCGACGATTCTCCATAACAATTTTCTTTACTTTCTCAACATTTTCATCACTTGTTGATTGTTGGGGCGTCCAGGGCGAGCGTCGTCATTCACCTCTTCGCGACCTTCTGTGAAAAGCTTATACATTTTTTGACTTAGAGTACAATCACCGTATGCCACTGGCAACATTTCAAGTGTTTTTAGAACACTTATCGAATATACGTAGCACGCGAAATTTGAACATTCACTTTATTTTTTGAACAATCCGTGTGCATCTATTATCTATACATCTATCTATCAATCTATCCGCCTATCCATCCATTTGTCCATCCAACACTAAACTTGTCTTTCAGTAAATTTTGCTTTTGACTTTGTTAAATGTTTATGGCAGGGGTCGGCAAGTAGTTTTGGGTGGGGTCCGCATACTGTGGGAAAATTTAAACGAGGTCCAGACAAAACAACTGATAATAACTAGGTGCTACCTATGTATTATTTTGGTTTCAAATCAAACTCTGAATTATACAACACAAGACATAAAATTAATGTGAGAAACTATACCGACGGTCTTGAGCCAGTTTGGTTCTCGAGAGGAACAGCAAATTCAAAGTGGGCGTTCGTTAATCTCGAACGATTTAAAAAAAAACATTTTTAAGAAAAATGCTTCACATACGTATGTTGAGCCAAACATAGAGGCCGAATTTGTAGCTACTTTCTTGCAATTTCCATGTTTGGCCCAAAATTCTTCAGTGGAATACGTTTTATACATTTGCAAGGCACATCTCTATTTGAAGTGATGGCTTTAACAGATTCAACAACTTGGCACCCACATCTGTTCATTCTACCGCAACATCAACTAATTCGCACAAGCACACACACAGGGTAGATAGGAAACTAATCAGACCATATTAGTTGTAGGTACTTGTAAAACAATAGGTTAACTAGGCACTTATTAAAATAAAATGAGTACTAAGTTAAATTATATGTGACACAAAAATATTATTTTGATTAATAAAGGTATGGTATACTTTATTTACGTATTAATTTATACTTGGTATACAACACATTACAACATTTGGCGGTCCGAGGTTCGACTTTTCGCGGTCCGCAAACGGACCGCAGTCCGCCTGTTGCTGACCGTTGCTTTATGGAATTCAAAAATAATTTTATTTCTTTGGTTTCAAAAATTATCAAAGTTGTACAAACTTTGTTGATAGTTGCAGGCATCTCATGGTTATTGAAACTCCAAAAGTACTCACCAATTTCTACTTTAGAGTTGAATTACTTCAAAAGGTAAACCTGGAACCTCTGACGTATAATAAATCCAAAATAAGCACTTTTCCCAAACACCAGAACTGCAATTCTCTACTCGACTGCTTTCTTCATCTCCTGAAAACGTCAACTTGGTTGATGAAATTCGCGTTGTGTAGAGTATCGCAGTCCTGGTGTTTCGGAAATGTGCTCATTTAGGATTGACTCGCTTTCACAATATGCATAAGAAAGATTCAGGATATGTCTATTACCTGAATTCAAACTGTCTAATTCCATATCGAGTTCATTTTCTCCAAACGAAAAGTCGCCTTTCGGAAGACCTGTACGGACATTCAAATAGGTGGGAAAACCATTGTACATGCCTATATGATCCACTTGGTCTTCATTTTCAGTTTCATCATCGCCTCCACTGAATTGAGCAGTTTGATCAATCACACCTGTGAGGAATACGTATCAATCTCATTGGGTTACACCTGTCAACATTAAGCGAACTTAAGTTGAATCTACGAATTTTTTTTAATATAATGTTGATCGTTATCAAATGTTTTTGGTATATATACCAGTTGGTTTGAGAAATATTCATCTCATTCTTAAGAAAAATAAATACTCAAACATTTAAAAAATCTTAACTGGGGATCAAGCAAAATTTGTTATTGTTGAATAATAATTATTTTTCACCTTCATAGCTACCTTTAGGTTTTGGTTCAGTTCCCAAATCTTTTATGTTATTTATAGTATTCTCCATTTGCACTACGCTGGCAATATTGCTGATGGGTTTGCTGTTCATCAATACTTCATCTCTGTTAGTATTGCTCGAAGTGATGGAGTTCTGCATGAACTCTTCACCATACATTGTCTTTATTATTTTCCACATCACAGATATCTTGAACAGAAATATGTTGAGTAAGTGACTATTATTTTGAATGTTATGAATAATTCAAACATCATTGATACAATCTACTCTGAAAGAGAATACTTATCCAGATTCCCACATAGAATCAACAATAAATGCTATAGAAAATAAACAGTCAATCAAAAACCAAATGGCCCTATAAACAGCATTAGCTGTTAGTAATTTCTATGATGTCTTTTATTATATTATTGATTCACACGTTCCTATTTTCAATGTGTTCAAACATAAATATCCCAAATGGTAGATTGCAATATCAAAAAGAAAGCTAAACTACGCAGACATACAAGAAAACTGGTAATATGCAGTACAATTATGAATTCAAGAGCCTTAGACTTATCTAAAGTAAATGGAACTTCAAACGTTCCAGCCAGTCTCTATATACCTACACAGTAGGTTTAATGGACTGACACCTATCAGAAAACAACTACTCCCCTGGCTAATACCACGAAGGACGTTGGATTATATCAGACAGGCGTCAGTGCAGGAATTTTCACAGAAAATGTCCTGCATATGCAATTGGCAATACAACTGAAAGAGTCAACCTTCAATTATNTGTTTCTATTATGTTTCTATTATAATCGTGTTTGTACTGTACTATAGAAAATAATAAACAGTCAATCAAAAACCAAATGACCCTATAATCAGCATTAGCTGTTAGTAATTTCTATGATGTCTTTTATAATATTATTGATTCTCATGTTCCTATTTTCAATGTGTTCAAACATAAATATCCCAAATGGTATACATCCGAGATTGCAATATCAAAAAGAAAACTAAACTACGCAAGACGTACAAGAAAACTGGTAATATGCAGTACAATTATAAATTCAAGAGCCTCAGACTTGTCATCAAAAACCAAATGAAAGCTGCATATATTTATTTAAATTCTATACAAGGATCTGTAGTATCTAATCCTCAATCATTGTGGTCATATGAACATTCTAAGAATAGAACCTTCCTTATTCCAGGTAGGATGAAATATGATGACTTCACTATTGATTCTCTGCATATATATCTGCATAATATAAACTTTAAAAACATCAGCGAACAAGAAATCTTGATTGCAGCAAGTAAACTAAAGAATAAGTTCACTTCTGGTCCTGATAAGATATCATCTTCTTTGGTAAAAGATTTCATCGGTGTATTGATCTATCCTTTACTGAAACTTTTCAATCTTGCAGTTAAAAATAATAATTTTCCTGAATTATGGAAGATATCACGAGTTTGTTCCATTTTTAAGTCTGGAGATNAAATTTTTAATTTTCTGATATATTTTTTTTATTTATTTTATTATATTATAATTTTGTTATTCATTTTCTCAAATTGTAACTTTGTAATTATAAGGATCTATATTACTTTTTTAACATACTTAGTTAACCCTTTAATTCAACTATTGGGTAATAAAGGCTATTATTATTATTACAAAATCAACAACCACGAACTTAACAATTACCGACTCAACAACCACCGAAACCTTTTACAACTAACGTTATATCTTACGTTCCAGCACTATCTGAAAAGATAAGACGAATTGGAAAAAGATATGATATACACACAGATCTATACTCAGATATACGAAACCGAAAAACACAGCAGAAAAAACATTTTTTGTGTCAACATCATTGAAAGTGTGTGAGAATGAACATCGAGATCACATCAGAAATAGCTAATCAACAAGATAAAAATTGTCAGAACACATTTTGAAATGAGACAGTGGACATTGAGTTTACTGGAACAAGACAAGAATGATTGCAAACAAACTCTACTCTAAGAGACGTAAACTCAAAGAATCAGCGTATATTCTATCCGGAGAGAAGTGTATTCTTAGAAATGGATCATACTTGGCTACCCTTCTTGAAAGAAAATGTGGATGGTAGTGAAATAGCAACAGACTTATCAGAGACACCCTTTTAACTACATCGAATGTTTCAGAAGTCTGTCAGCAACATTGACATTGTGGACTGTTTTTGAGAAAAATAAAAACTCACCTTAGTTTTTTGAACAGACCTCATATGAATATTTCTTTCATACATTCCCTGCATAAACCATTGTAGTTTTTTGAGAATAAATAAATGTTTAAAGTTTCTTCAAGAGTTGTCATTTGAATGATCACTTAACAGATACACAAGCATTATACTCAACTTACATCTACTTTTTTGAAAAAAAAGAGTCTGTGATTTTATTTTCAATAAATGAATTTAAAGTTCCTGCAAGCTTATGTGTGCAACTATTTAAGAATTACTTCAGTCCTGCAATCACATTTTGACCATTGTGCCTCAGCCTCTACTTATTCAACTCTGATAAATGACGACTGTTTCACACTGATATGATATTTGTTTACAAAACAATTGAGAATTTTGGACCATCTTACTAACAAGATAATTAGTAAGGTGTTTCTTGAATGTATTCCTCTTTATATGAAATATCAACTCATATAATGCAAGAACTAATAAAAAACAAAGTATGAATTTCTTGTTTTATAGAAGTTTCAATCATCATCTCTAAGTATTCTAATTTTGAAAATCAGTTAAAGGAATTTTAAAATGTGCCCTGTTTCACCCCCCTGTGTAAACAAGGTAATATAATAAGATAAAACTATCAAAATCTGTAATATGTCAAATTTAATGCAAAACCGAAGGAATCTAGTTTAACTATTAAATTTTAGTTGTTACTTGGATAAGATTGTGTTCTTACATTGGGTTTTCCAAATTCTCTAGCCACTGCGGAATTATGCTCACATAATTCGGAAATACTTCTTCCATGCAGTACGTAATTCTTGGCCAAATCTGAGAGATGATGAGATTCTTGACGGATTGATTGATTTTGGGTAAAATGCTGTAACGTGCTGGATGCCTGATGAAATTGATCCACTGCTTGAGTTGTTGATATTTTTCTGAATAAAAAAAATGAATGGATTGTACATTTTTTATTTGAATGAATATATTGCAATATACCTGTAAATTTTTGACTTACTAGTGAATGTATAATAAATCTTCTGTCACAGTTTTGTAAACTTGTCTTAATAAAAACCATAATTTGTAAATTTATCAGTTTTAAGGATGTGATGAATTTTTAATGTGCAAACAATGAGTTATTTAAAAATATTGATTCATCCTTACCACAAGTTATTTACTTCGTAAGGTTGTATTTGTAAGTCTTTCTAATACATTGTAATTATAGTTTTATGTGAAATTTTGACGAATAAACTGTATTATTATTATTATCAAGTATCGGTAAAATCCACAAAAAATAATTGAAAAATCAAAACGATGAAATTACAAACACTATTAGGAACTCTAATATGCTTTCGCGAGATTTTTGCAATCTGAGATAAAGTTGAAGTCTATATAAACTGTGATCACAGTCACGAATATAAAGAAGCAAGAGCCCAGTCAAATAACACAATACCCTTGACTAGAGTCTAAAGCAAATTCAAATCCAAGATAGAGTGTATGTAAACATTGACATGCCCTACACACGTGATATTGAAAATTCCAAGAATTGGCCAGGGTGTATTCAGAACCAACATCTTGTTGATCGCGAATGCTATATCTTACTTAAGAAAACTTTTTTATAACAACGAGTGAAATGCACAAGTTTTGCAGTTTAACGGGAAGAATGCAGATAATATGTGTAATATAAAAAGATTTTCATTGGATTTTTCACAGCGCACTCAAGCATTATATGAAAAGAAACGTAAGTATTTCTTTATTGATAATTTTTATTTTATGTAAAATCAAAAGGAATAGTAATCAAAATTATTCAACTGGATGAATTTGTCTCTTCATCAGTAGTGTCATCCTCACCAATCTGAATTATAAGTGGCTCGATTTGTGCCTCTATTATGTTATCAAGCTTCCACATCTTTGTCTCGACTTCCGATATCACATGCCGAACACACTTNTGGTACCGAACTCGTACCAAGAAGGCGAATTCACCAATGAACGCTGCCCTTTCCATCTGACACTGGGCGATCACGTGAACATCACGCTTCGGTTTTGTTTTACTCTATCTTGGATTTGGATAGACTTTAGATGAGTTGGATTTGATATATAGAATCAATCAACTCTTTCTCAAATCATCATGAAACAGACATATACACAATCTGAAATGTGAGAAAATTTCCACAGAATATTAGGTTATTGAGTTGTTTCAAAAGTTTTTTACGTTTTTATGAGTCCACGTTAAAGTGTGATATCACAGTGAATACTTATTTAAATCAATGGAAATAAGCTCCATTTGAATCAGTACACTTTTGCCAATGTAACACAAGTCGATTAATTCCGTCAGTATGAAAATTTTGTACTCCGGATTCGATGAAGTCGACGAAGGCCGTTTTTGCCTGGTTCTGATTAGGGAAGTTTCTACCGGCGAGAAAGTTATCATAGTGCTTGAAAATATGATAGTCGGTTGGCAAGAGATCTGGGAAGTATAATGGTTGAGGTGACGTTCAATTCGCTTAATTTTCAGACGGTGATTTGTGGAACGTGCGGACGGGCGTTGTCGTGGAGCAGAATTGGAACTCTTTTGTCGATCAGGGCCGCCTGCTACTGACGCAATTCACGATACATTTCGTCAGTTTCACTACAGTAGAATCCTGCTGTGATGGTTTGGCTCAGTTGCAGAAAGTTACAATAAATCACACAGCCGCTGACCACCACACAGTAACCATGGTCTTTTTTGGTGCCTGGGTCGTTCATCTGTGTCCAACTACTGTACTGAACGTCTCCTGTTGTAGAGGATCCATGTGACAATTCGATCGTGCCAAAGCAAAGAAGATCAGACCTCGAAACGTGACAATTTCTGTCGATCGTGGGGCACCCATTTTTTGAGCTTGTTGACCTTTTCAATACGTTCTAAATCATCCAAAACCGCATGAGAGCTGACTGTCAGTTCTTCCGCCATCTCACGCCATCTGTGCAATTTATAATGACATTCCCGAGCCCATGAAACGAGATGACTTCAATCATTTTAATATCAATTTCAAACGATTCTTATTATCTTCAAACTATTAATGACCCAATAGCTACCTACCTATTACAAATCTATAAATAGTCATAATATTTTAAGATATTTAAAAATTCTTTTTGTTTATTCCTTTGCGTACTAGGCGACATTTTTGAGGTTAAGTGGAAGAGCAATTGAATGATGACTTGTCATCATGTAAATTGAACTTTGCCTTTTGTCTTCTTATAATAAATGAACTGTACATGATTAATTTGATTTGAATGTATTAGAAGATAATAAAGACGATATTATTATTATTATTATTTGTAATGGGTCACTCTCAACCACGATTACTGTAGGTCGACTACTTTAGGGCTCATCTCTGAGACCTAAATCTCCGGAACGAAATTCAGCAAACCAATGCTGAACAGTACGTTGATTAACACTATCATTCAGTGTCATTTCTTTTCGAGTTTGAAAGCCGTGGATTTTTGGAATTTCTTCCTTACGTTTCGCTGGCGCGAGTGCTTCTTCAGAGGTTTAACCATCATGGCTTGTTGTCCGATGACACTATCATTGGCAAATAACTGGTTAATTTTTCGGGCTGTTTCGGCAGTACTTTCATTCAATTTGAATTCGTAGAAAAATTGGCCGAAAATCACTCAACAACATCATACAGTGATAAGCTGAAAAGAGGCAAAACAAAATTTTGAAAAAAATTAACAGCATCAATGTATTCAGTACATAATTCTCACCATTGATCAGTATATAGCAAAATGCGGTCGAATAATAAATATTTATCGAGATATGGAGTTACAAAAACACATGACGCTAAAACACAACAAACTTTTACAAGATGAGCAACAGTAAATTAGGACGAGGATTTGAGGACCCTGGTGAAGACTGACCCATCACAAACAATGTGTGAGATGGCGGAAGAACTAGGTGGCATCTTCCATTTGGTTTATGATGGTTTCAAACATTTTGGGAAGGTAAAAAGAGCGAAAAGTGGGTGCCTCACGATTTGAACGATCGAAAAATATTTTCACATTTTGGTCTGTCTGTTTTTTTTTTACTATTGCCCAACCAATACGATCCTTTTTTGCATCAGATTGTCGCGTTTGATGAAAAGTAGATCCTCTACAATAACAGGGCACGTTCAAAACAGTAGTTGGACAGCAATGAACCCCCCAGTTACTTCCCAAAGGTTCAGCTGCTGGTGTGATTCACTGTAACTTTCTGCAACTGGGCCAAACCATCACAACATAGTCCTATTGTGAGGAAATCGACAAAATGTACCGAAAATTGCNGATATTCACCCTTCAAAAAAGATTCATTTATAAGATAAGAGAGTGGGATGCATATGATGTTGGCTACAGCACGAAGAATGTCACCTCTGATTTCATCAATACCTGCTGCGGGTTTTGAGGATGTTTTTTGAATTACAGAAATAATTTCCTCAGGTGTTGTTGGATACAGAAAAAATGTTTTTGTTGCGTACGCAGAAAATTTAATATTATTATGGTTCGGTGTAGGGCAGTGGAAATTTGTGAAGTGATTACTGAAGGCATTAGCCACAGACTCACTACCAGCTACTGTATTTCCATCTGCAAGAATTATATCGTTAGGTAAACTTATCTTTTTGTTTTTACATCTCATCTCTCCAATGATTTTCCAAGATTCCTTTGAAAGATTGCTGGCATTAATAAGCCTATTATCATTATATGTTCTTTTGGTTTGTTTAATTTTTTTATTATACAATTTTTTGAGAGTTTTATACCTGTTTTTTATTATTGCATTTCCCGTACACTTATAATTTTTTTGCATCTCACATAAAGTGATGTGCATTTGTTTTATTTCATTATTATACCAAGAATGTCGTTTCTTATTTATGAGTCTTTTCTTTTTATATGGAAATGCATTATTGAAGTGATACAAAAATGTATTGTAGAATTTATCAAATTTATTGTTAAAATCATGTACCTCATACATCTCAGTCCAGGGTACATTCATCAAGGTATTAACCAAAGTTAAAATATTGCTCTCGCAAAAATCTCTTTGAAAAGATGTTGATTTTTCTTCTTTTTCATTATATTTAAACTGCAGAGAGGAAATCTGATATGTGTGATCTGATAGATGATTGTCATATATAGTCGTATTGTTTTGTGTTAAATTAGTGAAAACAATATCAATTAGAGAGTAACAAACGTATCGAATCAGAAAGCGGAATTGTCTGACCTGACGTAATTATATCCCGTTCGAAGACAATTTATTTTTTTTGGAAAAACCATTGCCTGAGTTTTGGTGGCATTAAATTCAATCTGGTTACTTTCACCCCAATTCGAAAATACTTCTAGGTCCTCATTAAGATATTCAACTTTCTGCTTCCGGTAAAGATGTGCATCAAAAGCCGATGTCCTGGAATCCAAATGTAATGACGAAACAAGTGTGTTGTCGTCAGGAAAGCAATATATTGGATTCTTGGTTTCTCCCAATGAATCGCTGATATACAATAACAAGAGGGTTGGAGACAATATGGATCCTTGAGAAATACCAGCATTTATAGTGAAAGTATTCGTCTTGAAATCGCTGATGGGAAATTAAAAACGAATTTGAGTTTTATTTTTCAATTAATCACGTGAATCATTAATTGAGCCAGATTCCTATTTTGACTTCTATTTATGAATGTTTCTAGAAAAAATTGAATGAATTGACCCCAGGAAACCCTTGTATACGATCGTTACATTTTTCAAATGGTCTTTATTGTACTCACTAGTAGAGGAGTTGAACTGAAATAATGATCGTTATAATTGATAACAAATCCATGAAATTTTGAAATATTATGATTTTTGTCGATATAAGAAAATATAAATTATTTCGATTCAAATGACTCCAAGTGACTATTCAAATCAATAATGATTTGGGTTGGGAATTAATTGCCTGAAT